GCTTTTGCTTTTCTCAAAAATATAGCATCAGCAGAGCTTAAATGTTTGAGATGTGACTACAGGATAGAACCCCTAAATCCGTATGTCAGAATCTAAGCAAGTGGCTGGGTGTACAGAGCAACTTACTCCTATTATTCCTATAAAGTACAGGAAAGCAATCTCCAAATTTATGCCTGATTGTACTAAGCAACAGTAAGAAGCACACTAGGAGTGTAGTGAGTTGACTACATTTGATTTAAAGCATCATCCAGAGCAGCCACAGAAGAAACAAAATATGAAGTTTGCATTGTCTCAAACATCATTCAGAGTCCTCTCGATGGCTATAGGCAAACCCATCCATTCAATATTATGCTTCCCATATTGAAGCATGGATGAAACTATCTATTCCCTAAAAGGCAGGTGCAAGATACTATCTTGCTGGTGAGAGAGTATCTTGCTGAAAGAAAAGAAACCTGTTCAGAGATAAATGGGTCAGGAGTTACAATATTTCTAACAATCACAGCATTTGTAGGCTTCACATCATTCATTGGTTCAGTATCACAAAACCAGCAATGAACTAACATTTTCTGAACTGTTGGCAGTACTTTTTAAAACAAGCACTACATATCACCACTATATAGTCATATTTCTGTTTGCTTTAGAGAACGTTGATTTCACCATGGGCTCCATCAGTGAAGCAAATGCAGAATTTTGTTTTGATGTATTCAAAGAGCTGAAAGTCCAACATGCCAACGACAACATCTTTTATTGCCCCCTGAGCATGATTGCAGCCTTGGCCATGGTGTATCTGGGAGCAAGAGGCAACACTCAATCTCAGATGGAGAAGGTAAGTTACATAAATGGGTACAAACTCTCCTTAATCCCCTTCAACACAGCAGCACATTATCAATTTACCTCTTTGGGACTCCAGTTGAGGAGAGCAAGTCACATAGTCACATTTGGCACTGGATTCAAACCTGCCTAGAAAAGGAATGGCATTCTAACCCATGTGGTTTAGATCTGGAGCTGTTTTCACTTACAATTGCGTTTCCCCATAAAGGGCAAGAACAGCTTTTGGTTTTGAGCAGCCTCAGAGAATGGTTAAGGTTGGTCTCTTGCTTCAGCTTATGTTACCTCACAGGCCTAATTCCTTCCAGGTGGAAGGGGCAACTTGAAATATACTAAAGATGAAACATTCAGAAAACAAGGGTCACAGTTATAAATACAATGCAGTAAAGTTGTGTCTGTTTTATAGACTGAATGCCATTAACTGGAAAAGAAGGGATCTAAGCTGAGGGTCATAGTCACGAATCTTCAGTAAAAAAATCTGGTTTAAAGCTCATATGAAACCCCTCAGTTCATCAATGTGCTAATCAGATCTTGTTAGTCCAAACCTACAGAGTTAACACAAACATCAGTGACTCTCAGTGGGCTTCCTGTACCTAGTTTCTCTTATTGCTACTTTCAATTGCAGGTTCTTCACTTTGACAAAATTGCAGGACTTGGAGGTAGTATCCAGACCAAGATACAGAAATCTAAGGTACATTCATTTCTCTTCTGTATTTTTTTCCTGAGAATAGACTAATCTGATTATGTTTCTAGTAAGTTCAACACATTCCCAAACCTTTGCTAATGCTCTTAATTTTAGAGATATGTCAACCCCCCCATGCACAAAACAACAAACCCCCAAAACCCCCAAAGAACAACAACAACAAATCCCACCCCAGACAAACAAACAAATGAACAAAACCCCCACATACTAAAAAACCCACAAAAGCACCTGAAAAAGAAGATAGGCTGCACATATTGCACCAGAACAAGTGACAGAACAGGTAGTTCTGGGTACCAGGGTACCTTCTGTAGATGAGTGTCTGCACACCTTCAAGTGCTGCTGGGAGACAGCACTTGAAAGGAGCTCAGCACTTGGAGACAGGGCACAGCAGGCAGACTTGCACCTGCGACTCCAAAGTGTGGCAGGAAGATGCTTCAGAAAAAAAAGAGCCCATAAACATCAAAGGATGGAAAGTAATCACAGCCTTCCCAAAGGTACAGGGACTTTTCCAGCCTCCAATTCCTACTGCCACCCCAAGAGCACCATGAGGGGTCCCAGTACCTTGACACCATCTGTATGCTTTCATCCATGTTAATCTGCTGCCTCTGTAAAGTTAACACAAGCCATGGAGCTTGTCCTGTCCTCATCCACTCGGGATCCAAAGCACAAGGTGGGACTTGGAAGAAGCAAGACTTTTTTTTCCTTTTTTATTTTTTTAATCATGAATGTAGTGTCAGCTAGAGGAGCAGTTCAACACAATTATATAATTTATTCTCATAAAATTAAGTCTCAGCTACTGTTTATCATTGTGCAGACTTCTTGCATGCTTTTAGCCTGTGGCACCTGGAACACTATTCTTGGGCCATAAGACAGTTGATCCATTTTTTCACTATATTAAGAGGCACTTACTGACTCCCTTGCCATCTAGCACTGCTCTCCCATCTGCAGCTGCTGCAGAAAGCTGCCATGAAAATCCAAGCAGCAGCTGAGAACTAGAAGCTCTATGACATCTCACCAATTGCAATCATTGACACCTGAATTTTTCTTTTTGTCACCTCATTCCTGAGCTATATGTTTTCAGATTCACCACTGATGTTTTCCACTTGTTGACCTAGAGTGAGTGTCATCATATGCTATGAATTAATTGTATATCATTAGTTAGCTTATGTTGAACATCCCCTCCCATAGAGTTCTTGGACTGTATTACATGTCCATTTACAAATGTTCAAGCACTGTGTGTTTTCCAATGTTATTTGTGCCTTATAAAGGATTATCTTTCTAGTAAAATAACCTAACATCTATACATTTTAATCTTCTTATCAACAACCCAGTGTGGCAAATCTGTGAATATCCACATGCTGTTTAAAGAAATTCTCTCTGACATCACTGCACCGAAAGCCAATTATTCACTCCACATTGCCAACAGACTCTATGCTGAAAAGACAAGTCCAATCCTACCGGTGAGTAAGTGATGTCTTGCTAAACCCTGTGTAAACCTGTAATCCAGGAGAACAGGCTAGACTGGGAGATCTGTTAATCCAGTGGTCCCCACTGGTGTAGATTTACATGGCTTTTCCCTTTGCCACTGCCCTGACAATAATCTGAATGGAAGGCAAATCAAAATATTCAAAAATTAATGGAGTAATAAATAAAATTATTTAGTAATGCAATTCCCTACTCACTCCCTCAAAGCATTTTGTTTTAATGGGTTGTTTGGAGTGTTTCTTTTCAGGAAATATTTTGACTTTGGCATATTTCTTCACTTGGAAATCTCACCTAAAAAACAACTTTTGAAAGTGTCAAAGTATTTCTTTGACATTTTCAAAACAAAATATATAAATACTCTAAATCAAGGAAACTTAGCTTTAAAAATAAGGAAAAATGCTCTAAAAAACATGAAACAGGGTATGGACATACAAATAATAAAACAGTCTGAAATGAATCTGAAAACAGTGGGTTTGGATCTGGCTTTCTTCAAGAAAATATTTAAACATTTATAACGTACTATTAGCTGGTGAAGTAATAAAAGTGTCAGATCTTAAAATGCCCTGGACCAGAATAATTTTTCTGGCCCAGTTTTAGAAGATTCTTCCAGGAAGTAAGCAATGAGAACAGCCTAACCATGATATCACTATAAAAAAATCCTATTAGCCATATTTTATTTCACTTTCATACTGTTTTTAAATAAAGACTATTTTTGTGGCTACCATTGATGTCTTTACAGATCTACATAAAATGTGTGAGGAAACTGTACAGAGCAGGTCTGGAAACTGTCAACTTCAAAACAGCATCAGATCAAGCCAGACAGCGCATTAATTCCTGGGTGAAAAATCAGACAAGCGGTAAAGTCAAACAAGATTATGAAATATGCTTCCCTCTGGAAACTGTACTTGAATAACTTTTGAAAAGACTAAACAGAGGAGAAATTTCCTCCTCTCATCCCCACTAGTGGATATTTCCTGTGGAAAGGGATGACTATTGCACCCATGTGGCAATGATATGTTTTAAATGTATCTGGCAAAGGCAGAGGTACCAGGATATGTACACTTTATATGCACAATTTTTGTGTCTGGAGAGCATAACTCAGGCAAGGTTAGTCCCAGCTTCTCTAGAATACTGGCACGATTTTACAAGGATGTGCTGGATGGGTAAGAAGTGGGCTTTCAGGGGAGCAAGCAATGCATACACTAGACTGATGGTGGGAAAGGAATGGTTTGGGAGCTTGTCTGCATTTATCATGCTGAGGTGGGAGGTAAAACCAAGGGGGAATTGTGAGAAGGAAGCACAGTGAGAAAATCTATATGGCTTCTTCCCTCTCCTTTTCCTTGTCTATATGAATCTTTTTTCCAAGCACTGGTTAAAAATACGTCTCAAGGTGTGTACCACCACTGGCCAGGTGCCAGTATTTCTGTGTATTGAATCATCCTCATGAAGCTGAATTCTGTGTGCAGACCTTTGAAGAAGAAAAAGTCAAATTGAGCAACAGCATATTGATTGACCTCTAAAATGCTCTAAAAAAGACTACTGCTCTGAAACTTACCACTCTCTTCCCTATCTCTTTCTTAAAGGACGTATCCAAGATCTCCTTGAACCAAGCTCTGTTAATCTCCATACTGTGCTGGTCCTTGTGAATGCCATTTACTTCAAAGGGATATGGAAGGCAGCATTTAAGGAAGAAGACACTCAGGAAGTGCCCTTCAGTGTGACAAAGGTGGGGGGCACAGACACAGCTTCTGCCCAGAAAGCCAGGCTGCTGCCTTGCACAGCCAGTGGGCTGGGTGTTATAAATACAACACTTTGTGGACATTGACTGGGTTATTTAGCTGGGCCCCTCACTGCCAGATTAGCAAGAGCTGTGTCTGACCACAGCACAGCAGCAGATGAGAGGAAAATGGAGACAGCTCTTCATCAAAGGCAACACATTTGAAGATCAAGTCCCATCCCTTTCTAAGGCCTCCTACATTTGCCTGACTAGACAAAAAATATTGCTTCCCCATCATATCATCTGACTTTTCTGTTTTTTTGCAGCAAGAAAGCAAACCTGTGCAAATGATGTGTCAGAACAGTACATTCAAAGTGGCAAGAGTGGCTGCAGAGAAAATTAAGATCCTGGAGCTTCCATATGCCAGTGGAGAGCTGAGCCTGTTGGTGCTGTTGCCTGATGACATCTCTGGCCTGGAGCAGGTATGGCCCTGGCAGGGGAAGCAGAAGAGTTTCAGACCTTTGGCTGTCCCGTTACATCCCAGTTGCTCATATCATGGCTGGGCAGGGCAGGCAGGGGAGCTCCAAATCTGCCCAGGTGCTCCAGGTGCTCAGGCAGAGACTGACCTCTTAGGAAAGCCCTGAATTTAACAAAATGAAACTAAAGCAGTGCACTGCTGCTGTAGCCCTGCAGAAGAGGATGTATATTTTGGCAGATATTATCCTTTATTCAATGAGAGGTAATTTCATACATATACACACACACACACACACACACACACACACACACACACACACACACACACATATACAGTTGAGGAAACATTGGTAAAACTAATGAGCATCAGGCATTATTTGCAGGAATCACAAATGATTTTGTAAACAAAATAATTAAAAATCATAAATGGACTGTTTTCAAAAATTGCTCTGATAATGTCATCATGGAATGAAAAATGGAGTTAAAGTATGATCTTAAAATATTCTTGATTTTTAAATAGTGAAACCGATCAAAATTAACAGACTAATCAAAACCACTTTTTCAGTCAAGACTTCAGAGAGTCTTAAATATAGGATGGATAGGAAATGCATGTAAGATATTTGGAAATTACTCATCAAACAAAGAAAAGAAACTTGAGTTTAATTGGATGAATATCAACAGCAGAAGGAATCCATGAACTTAAAAGGACAGAACATGAGAACAGCAAAGAAAGTAAAAGAAAACATTAAAACTGCTTTAGATCAGGTTGAGTCAGATTTTTCCAGATGCATGAAAACTAATTAAAAATATGGTTTTGTCCTTTAAAGAAAAAAATTAGTAAAAGTGGGACCAGTATGCAGTGAGGCAAGAATACAAATATAATCTACTGACCGTGCAACATGAAATGAAACTTTTGTATTTGTCTTTGAAGAAAATGAAGCCAAACACCCGAGTGAATGCAGATGCTAACAGCAAAAAGGCAATAAAATACATAGATGCAAGGGATAAACAGAACTAGAACAATTAATTTATTCAGTCAAATGTAAGATTTCTGAAAGATGTAGAAACCCTGCCCCCAGAATTCCATTGTCAATCACTTAAAGTTATCAAGGTGTTATAAAATTGCCTATCTGTACTCAAGAAAGGGAAAAAGCAATGCAGTTTGCATTATATGAACTATTACTCTTATTTCAGTAATATTTTTAAATCATAGAGTTATTGAAGATGTAGAAGAGTTTGCAACTGTTAGGCCCTATCACCTGTAGGTAAATTTTGATGGCCTTTTCTTTTTGCAATCTCTTTCACAAGCTACTAATTTGCTAGGCTGTGAAACTGTTGGGTTGTGCCTCATGGGGACACAGGATTAGCTGGACAGAGGGGGATGTGTCAAGGTGGTAAAGAACTAAATAAAAGGACAGTGACACAGGCAGCACCAGAGAGGCAAATGATAAACTACAAGAAGGATGTCAATAGGATGCACTTCAGGAACCATTCTGGTTGGGTTTTTTATGATAGCCTTAATCAAAATGAATGGCAGGAAGAAGCTGCATTTGCATCCCAGACATTTCACTCCCTGCCTCTCTTTGCAGCTTGAGAACAAAATCAGCTTTGAAAAACTTACAGAGTGGACCAGTTATGACATGATGAAAAAGAAGAGAGTGAAAGTGTACCTCCCACGCATGAAGATTGAGGAAAAATATAACCTCACATCTGTCTTAACAGCCTTGGGTATGACTGACCTGTTCAGCCCTTCGGCCAATCTCTCTGGCATCTCTTCAGCAGAGACCCTGAAGATATCTCAGGCCATCCATAAGGTGTACATGGAAGTCACTGAAGAGGGCACTGAGGTGGCTGGCTCAGCAGACGTGTCGGGGGAAATAGAAGATTCCTCTGAGTCTGAAGAGTTTAGGGCTGACCACCCATTCCTTTTCTTGATCAAACACAATCCAAGCAACATGATCCTCTTCTTTGGTAGATATTGTTCACCCTAACCAAAAAAAAAAGAGCTGGAAATAATGCTTGCCTTCCCCTTTATTGTAGTATTGTAGTATAATCATATCTCTTCAATATTTTTTCTGAGTGGAAAGGCTACTGTAAGACATGTCCATTTGGGAAGCTTCCATAGCAAACACATACCGGCAGGTGAGGAAACAGCAGCAAGCATGTTTACTCCTTTCCCTTCTCATACTGGTTTCAGCATTGCTTGAGCTAAGCAAAGACTGAGCCCAGAGAGAATAGAGGCACTCACAAGACAAGAAGGGGTCAAGTGATTTTCACTTGAGGAAAACGTTGCAGGCATGACTCCAAGTCTTAGGGAGTGCATTCCATAGAAAGCCATGGGCTGTGCTCATCCCATTCCCCAGTAGCATCCTGCTGACAAACCCATGTTGTTCCTGAAACATGGGGTTTGAGATCTCCAGTTTGGAGGAGATGCTTGTGAATAAGGTTTTGCTATGCAAATTATTAATTGGTGCCTATGTAAATTTTTTTTTTTTACTTTTCTGTCACGAAATGGTGTACATGTCCACTATCACCATAGTTGTCCTCTCACCATGAATTACTTTCAGAGGTTCTCCAAAGTCATAGAGAGTCTCTCTTCCACTTCAGAAAGTGGAAGGCTATCTAACTTTGTCTAGATGCAGTTATGCCTTCTCATAGAGTGTAGATTCAAAGCCTGAAACATGGATATTTAGATGATCCAGATGATCCAGGACTCAGAAGTGCCTGGCAAAAAGCTTGTTTAAAATGTTGGAATACACTTCAAATTTGAGAACATTTTGATTGTGAAAAATCCTTCAAGTGGTGTTAAAGAATCTGATTTCTCCATGGGAGTTTGTGAAACAAAAAACGCCACAGCTTTCAAAATATTTCCTCTTTCTGCTGATCTTGCTTAGCAAGTAAACTCCACTCAGCCCCTGGAAAGCCCTCAGGTGTTCAAAAATCGAGTACATTATTATTACATGAATGCAGCTGGGTTTCATTTTTCCTATGATAGTTCAAGGCTACATCTCTTATTCTTAAGAAATACATGAGAATCTTAATATTCTCTGTCTTTTGTTTATATATGTCCATTGCCATCTCCAAATATGGATATATCAGCTCAATACTATGACCTGTATTCATTCTAATCCTACATTATTGATTTTGATGCATACAATTGATTTTTTTTTTGTTAACATAATAAAAGAAAGTCACAAATGCTTGCCATGAAATTATGTTAATTTTCTGGACCACAGAGCCTTAAAAATATTATTACGTTGGCACTGTTTTGAGCAAAATGAGGTTTAGTACAAATCTTCCTTTTTTTTAGAATAAAGCATGTAGATGCGAAGTTTCCTAGGCATTTATGAAATGGATGAATACACACATCTAGAGTTTGATCCCTCTCTGTAGTACAGATTATCAAGACATAGCCCAATGGAATACTAATTTGTTCTTACGTATTTTTCAATACCATTCCAATGGGTATTAAAATGCACTGACAATGAGTCTGATAAATATTTCAAGGAACAACTATTCCGTCAACTTTGCCATTTGAGATGATGAAATCATCTGAAAAATCATATAACTTACACACATGCAAAAGAATAACTATTAGGCAAAGTATTTTCTCATTGAGATTCTTGAGAGGAGGTACTCTCATTAATATAGGCTATTCCAGTATTAAGGGACAGGGCAGCCCTGGATGTATGTACAGACTGGGAACCGAGATGCTGGAGAGAAGCCCCATGGAAAGGTAACTGGGGATCCTTGTCGATGGCAAGTTGAATATGAGACAACAGTGTGGCAGCCAAAGGGGTCAGCTGTGTCTTGGGCTGCATTGGGCACAGCATTGCCCAAGGACAAGGGAGGTGACTGTCCCACTCTACTCTGCACTGGTGTGACCTCACCTTGAATACTATGTGCAATTTTGGGCACCACATATGAGAAAGATATAAAGCTATTAGAGAGTGTCCAAAGGAGGGCAATGAAGATAGTGAAGGGCCCAGAGTGGGAGCCATGCAAGAAGTGGCTGAGGTCACTTGGCTTGCTCAGTCAGGAGAAGAGGCAACTGAGGGAAGACCTCAGTCTACAACTTCCTCACAAGGGGAAGCAGAGGGGCAGGCACTGATCTCTTCTCTCTGGTGACTAATGACAGGGCCTGAGGGAATGTCAGGAAGTTGTTGCAGGGGAGGTTTAGGTTAGATATTAGGAAAAGGTTTTTCACCCAGAGGGTGTTTGGGCACTAGAACAGGCTCATCAGTGAAGTGGTCACAGCACCAAGTCTGCCAAGGTTCAAGAGGTGTTTGGACAATGCTCTCAGGCACATGGTGTGATCGTTGGGGCTGTCCTGTGCAGGACCAGGAGTTGGACTTTGATGATCCTTGTAGATCCTTTCCTACTCAGGATATTCTATGATTCTGTTTCCGCATTAACACATAGTGTGGAGTGATTAAAACACATCTGTAGAGGAAAGCAGCTGGTACTACATGCTGACATCCACAGTATTTGAGTATAATCAAGATATTTGTAATATAGACTCAGTTGTTTTCCAGTGGTAAAACCAGTTATTTTACCAAATACACTTTAAATTTTGTTCTTCAGAAATTAAAGCAATGGTATGAACAGTTCCAAGAGATGCCAAATTTCAACATCTCTGGGCTAATCATAAGCAGTTTATTCACTTTTTGCATCTCTTGTAGCCAGAAGCAGTTGATCCAGTCTGTTAAATTCAAAAGCCACTTAAACAATAAGAAGACTTGAAAAGGTTTACATTTGCGAACTTTCCTTCCTATGATTATTAAACTGGAAAGTGCTGAAAGTACAAAGGTATGCCTCAGTGACCAATGTTGTTTCCTGGATGACAACAAAGGTCAAAATGAAAAGAATGGGTAAAAAGCAAAGAGGCCATGAGGCTTACAAGCAAGTACAAAGCTTCCCCTCTCCCCAAAGGTAAAACAGGAGGCAGCAAAAAGTGTAAATTCAGCAATACTGGACCAAACCTGTACCAAAGTACCAATGGCTAGGATGTGGCCCTGGCCACCACGGGCCAGATAGGAGGCACAATATTTAAAGGGCAGTGGAAAAGCATTCCACATAAAGGGGGTGACAGACCTGGCTAGTGGGATTGTGAATGCCTGCTGTGGTCTCTGAGCTCTCCAAAAACCTTGGAGAGATTTGGGAGAATCAGCCCTTCCTGTGCCACAGAGACAGAAGGCCTATGCTTCAGCCCCTGTGTGCTCTCACCCACTGAACAAGCATGCAGTGGAAAGGTGAAGGTGCTCCAGGAACACAGAGGGCCCCCATGCTCTGTCTGAGAGCATTTTTGCACTTTTGACCTTCAGGTTTCATTTCCCATACATGGATCTGGTTCTCATGCCATAGGCAGCTGAGCATATTTGCTTTGAGAATAAACAAATCTCAAAAAACAATATTAGAATGCTCCTAAAGTTTTTCTTTGAAAAAAGGCAAAAATAAATAAACCTTGGAAAACCTCTGTATTGCCACTGGTATTTTGTCATAGCCTTCCAAAGGCTCCTGGAATTTTTGTTTTCTGAAGAATTGAGACCCTGTTTCTCTGACAGACTGCTGTGCAGCACCTGATGGAAAGTAACACATGGCAGGCAAGACAAAATCTGAAACCTTCTGCACCTCTTCATGTAAATAACACAGCTTCCAACAGCACAATGAGAGGCCCAAGGGTCTGCCACTATGAGGCAATGTTGCTCTCCATACGACATGGAAACAGCACTCACCTGTGCAACATGCCATACACTCCCATTCCAAGTGCCTCATCTACACCACAGTATTTTCTTTGCACATTAATGAGCAATAACCCTGCTGTCTCCATCTCCCTTGAGATCTTCCTCTAGATAAAACACAAAACCACAGAACAGCTGAGATCTGAAGTGACCTATGACAATTCTCTATTCCAAGCTCTCCTCTTCAGTCAGGGTCAGATGCAGCAGGTTGCTTGGGACCATGTCCTGCTGGGTTTTGAATATTCCCAAGGATGGAGACTCCACACCTTCTTTGGGCAACCTGGATTTACCTCCTTCCCCATACAAAAATGTATTTTCTTAAGTTTAAAAGTAATTTATTCTATTTCAGATTGTGCCCCTTCCCTCTTGCCTGTTCACAGGAGAAAGTCTGGCTCCATCTTCTTTTTACCCTCCCCTCAAGTAGGTTATGCACATTAATAAGATTCCCCCCTGCATTTTTTCCTTTCCAGGGTAACAAGTCCCATCTCTCTGAGCCTGACAGGTACTTTAAACACTTCATCATACTTGTGGCTCTTCCTTGGTCCTGATTTAGTACATCCACATCTCTTTTGCACTGGAAAGCCCAGAGCTCGGCACAGCATTCCAGCTGTCATCCCACCAGTATGAGCAGAGGGGCAGAATAACCTCCCTTTACCTGTCAGCAATGTTTTTTTATGGCAGTCCATTGTACTGTTGACTTTCTTTGTCACAAGGACACATTGCTGACTCACAGTCAACTTGGTGTCTGCCAGGACTCCCAGTTCTTACCTGTAAAGCCAATATGATGGCATGGCCTTTGTGCAGTGACATTTCTACTTTTCTGCAGCAGTCTTTTCATAGAATCATAGAATCAACCAGGTTGGAAGAGACCTCAAAGATCATTGAGTCCAGCCCTACCGTTGTTGTTAGACCATGGCACTAAGTGCCACATCCAGTCTCATCCTGAAAACCTCCAGGGATGGTGAATCCACCACCTCCCTGGGCAGCCCATTCCAATGCCTGACTACTCCCTCCATAAAAAATCTCTTCCTAATATCCAACCTAAACCTCCTCTGGCAGAGCTTTGTCTGTGCCCCCTTGTCCTACTGCTGGTTGCCTGGGGGAAGAGACCAACCCCCACCTGACTTACAACCTCCTTTCAGGTAGTTGTAGAGGGGGATAAGGTCACCCCTGAGCCTTTTTGTGGATTGACGTGACATTTGATAAATTCCAGTCATCTGGGACTTCCACAGTGAGCCAGGACTGTCGGTAAATGATGGAGAGAGCCTTGGTGAACTCTTCCTCCAGCTCCTTTATCACTCTGGGATGGATCCCATCTGGTCCCTCCTGCAGGAGGTGCAGGAAACATTCTTAAGAATCTCATTCTTAACATTCTTAAGAATCTCAGTAAGGTACAAGTCAGAGGAGAGGAAGGCTTGTGGGAGGATGGCTGTGTCAAAACAAACCAAGAGATTAATTTATTCTATTTTATGCAAAAGAAAAATTTTATTTTTCCTGGAAGCATGTGCCAATATAATGGACATGCTGAGCAGCCTGTCAGTGAGTGAAGGAGGTAAAATGACAGGCATGGTGACATGAGCAGTGTTAGTCACAGGCTGCCATGAACAGTCTTCTCTGTTGGGAGGATGCTGCTAACTAAGGTCCTGTATGGCACAGCCAGTAAACTAGTTGTGCCAACGCCAGTGGCCACCTGTTCTGCCCCATGTGCATGCTGGTTACCATGCTACCTCCTTAGGACCCAGTGAGTAAGGCCATACACAGCCTCACCTAGTCTGTTGGCTGATTCCATGGACTTGAGAGATGAATAAGGGACTTCTCATATGCTGTGGTGACTGATAAAGGGACTGCTGGGTGTGCTGGTCCAGAATCTGTACAGCAACAGACTCTGGATGCTGTGTGCACTATTAAGCAAATGCGGTGAATAAGGGTGAGACATTTGTGACCAAAGCCATCACAGGATCCTTCCAAAGGTACTTCCACTAGAGGAATTCACTCTGCCAACACTGAGCAATGCACATCCCTGTCACAGTCTCTGAACGATCAAGGCAGCACTACAAGCAACAGTGTCCAACACCAGAATGGCACAGGGCTACTGCTGAAAGCTGCCGGTGGGTCAAGCTCCTTAAGCTGTCTGAAGGAGCTTGACCAGGCACCTCATTTTCTTCGGACTGGGGAAAGAAAACAGTCCTACAGGATAACTGAGAGAGAAACCATCATTGATAGATACAGCACCAAGTTCTACAATGGCAGCTAACTGAACAATCACTGGCAGTCACTCTAAAAAAGACAAACACGAAACAATCAACATGCACCTTCCTACTGACAAAAGAACAACAGTGTGGATATGAACAAAATCTTGAGTTCTATGTGGGAAATTGTGATTGGATGGCAGGCTTTGGTCTGTGAGCTGACCTGGACTTCATATCCTTTTGGAAACTTTCAAATGTACAAGAGTCTGTTGGTTTAGGGACAGCTCCACAATGAAATGCCTGGCAGAGGAAAGGGCAGCAGAGTCTTAGCTGACCTCTTTCTTGGGACAAGCTTTGTCAAACAAGGACATGTGGATAAATATTTCCTTTTGTGTTTGTGCTGCATTACACAGCTGTGCTGGACAGGGAAATCCATTATCTTTGATCCCAGGAAGCATTTCAAATGCAGTTTGCTTAATCTCACTAGACTCTGTAACAGGTCTAGAGTAGCCAAGTAGACTATGCAGTACCTCTTATATCTTACAATTCTGTGCTAATGGCTGATCATAATCAAGATGTTTACTTGTGGAATGATTTTGTTGCTTCTGCAACTTGCTTTACATTAATCACTAATAGAAATAAAAAATAGAAATGCTAACACAAACAGTAACCTGGGTTGTGTATTAATATGCTTCTCAAGGAGTGGACAGCCCCTGTTCTACTGTAAAGCAAAATATTCCATTGATTAACAAATAAATTCAACTCAGAAGTATTTTGAACACCACGCCATAGCTAACAACAGTAATGCTGTGAGTTGGCTGTTACGAAACAACTGTACTGACTCCGTGGACATCTTTGTGGCTACCAAGTTACAGGCTGTGCATGATGATACATGTGATTCATGTACACAATGACAAGGTGGCTCACCTATGGCAAACTGAAGCTTATCACTGGACAATTCCATTGCCAAGGAAAGAGATTCAAGGCATACTCAAAATTAGAAGTGACAGCGTAAGACATATTGGCTAATCCTTTGATATTTGAGCTGTCAAGTATGCTAGAATGGACCATGGCTGTGAGTGTTAAAGCCTGTTGAAGAGAAACAAAGCAGTCTCAAGCAGGAAAGGCAGAAGGAGAAGCAGCTGCAGGAACATCTTGCAGTCTAGGGAGCAACCCCAGTTGTGTGTGATTAAAGGTTCACCATACACAGACAAATTCACCCATTTGACCTGTCTTCCACCAGCATGGTGGTATTATTTTCAGCTAAATGGACTGGGACACAACAACACTGGTGACCAATTTATATACCGCTCCTATGAGAAAACAGTTCATTCTCTCCAAAATAGATTTGCAGTGATGAGCCACCAACAGGAGTCAAGGTCTAAACATCTTTCCTCAAAAGCACTGATGCAGCATAGCAAGGTTAGCAACAGACTGGCCTGAACTACACACTGTGCCAAGTAAAGTACTAGTGCTATGGAAGTTCACCAGTCCTGACTGAGCTCTTCATGGTTTCTATTGCACTAGCATCTTCAGCTCAACAAGACAGTTAAGAACTGTATTAGGGAGAAAGGTGTGGAAGATTCAGAGCCTTTCCTCTTGCATAGAAAATGAAAAGGGTTAAAAAGTCCACCTCTTCTCTCCAGAGGCATAATTTGTTCTAGACAATTTCAGAGGCATTTTGTGTATTGACTTTGGATTTCTGTTTTAAAATCACATGGCATTTAGAGAGGTCAAAACAGTTTCTTTTATTGTCTGTTCATTCTTTTATTTCAAAGGAATTACAAGACTTCTTTCTACTTGCTATTGTATATTATGACTGTCTTGCAGACCATGAATGTTTCTTCAGCTGGTTTGTTCAGCTGATGTGCCATGAAGTTGCTTGTGGAAGACCTGTAAGAATGGTCTCTGTATACACAAAAGGCACATTTTGAACGCAGCATCTGGTGCTGTGACCTGTGGAAAAGAACAAGTCACCTTAAACTACCCTTCAAAATTCTAGTAGCAAGTTCAGATCCTTTTTTGGTAGCATCTGACTGGGATCTAAATATCCTGATGCCTGAATTTAAAAAGCAACAAGAATCTTGTCTTATTTATCTTTTGAGCCCCTTTTTCCACAGCATGTTTTTCTTTAGCTCTGTATTCTTTACAGAGATGCTCCAAATATTGCTTTTGAAATTATTTGTATTGCCACAATACGCTCACTGAGGACTTTGTTCCACTGATGTGCTGTGCAGACTGTGACTATGTCTGAGTTCCTTGAGCTAGATTGCTCTAGAATGAAAAACTGTGCTCTGTGAAACACTTTGTCTATGGTCTTCTACAATGCAGTAAGTGACACCAGGCAACTACATACAACGTTTTGCAGAAAAATCTACTTCAATGTTAAATTTGGCAACTGATATTTAAAGGATGTGCTCTTTCTCATGTTCCTTGGTAGCAGAACGTTCTCCATTCCTTGGCAAGACTAGTTCTTCAATAGGAACAAGGAAAGGAAAGGAAAGGAAAGGAAAGGAAAGGAAAGGAAAGGAAAGGAAAGGAAAGGAAAGGAAAGGAAAGGAAAGGAAAGGAAAGGAAAGGAAAGGAAAGGAAAGGAAAGGAAAGGAAAGGAAAGGAAAGGAAAGGAAAGGAAAGGAAAGGAAAGGAAAGGAAAGGAAAGGAAAGGAAAGGAAAGGAAAGGAAAGGAAAGGAAAGGAAAGGAAAGGAAAGGAAAGGAAAGGAAAGGAAAGGAAAGGAAAGGAAAGGAAAGGAAAGGAAAGGAAAGGAAAGGAAAGGAAAGGAAAGGAAAGGAAAGGAAAGGAAAGGAAAGGAAAGGAAAGGAAAGGAAAGGAAAGGAAAGGAAAGGAAAGGAAAGGAAAGGAAAGGAAAGGAAAGGAAAGGAAAGGAAAGGAAAGGAAAGGAAAGGAAAGGAAAGGAAAGGAAAGGAAAGGAAAGGAAAGGAAAGGAAAGGAAAGGAAAGGAAAGGAAAGGAAAGGAAAGGAAAGGAAAGGAAAGGAAAGGAAAGGAAAGGAAAGGAAAAAAAAAAAAGAGAAATGTTAGAATAAGAACAGTGCAGGCATTCTATAGCAAGCAGTCCTGCACATGCTGATCTTACCAAAGTATCTGAGTTCTCAGAATGGTGACTCTGAGAGGAATTGGCCCATTGGTACTCATGACAGAGGAAAATAACACAAAAAATCCTTACAGACATTCTTCTAGATTATATTTGACACTTTTTTTTCGTTTATTTTCACAAGTTATGTTACACTATTTGCTGCCGTAATCAAATCATGCTTATAATTCAAGCTGCAATGATTAGCTTTTACCATTTATTTGCTTCAGTCATTTCAATATGCTCCTTCCTTTTCTGCAAGGTTTCACATGCTATGAAGAATGAATCTTCCTTTTTGGAGATTTTAGGGTAAAATCCTTTCTTTCAGGCTTTTTTTTTCTTTGTTTCAAAGAATGGACTTATTCCAAGTAAAAGTACATGTCTGGCATTGAGCTCCATCCATCACTTTACTGGGTAAACACAGAACAGGCAGCACGGGGCGTGTCTCAAAGTAGCACAAGATATATTTCAAGGAGTTCCTCAAGTCTGCCCCAAGTGCAGCTGAGAAGCTGTGCTATTACCTTCCCAGGTGAATCTGATAAGGTAAGCATTTCTTCCAATTATGAGTTAAGCTCTTGCTTAAATGCAATTTAAGAAAAATCTTTTACAAAACTTATAATAGATTGATGTAACCTCATGTTTATGGCCTTCCATAGCAGTTGAAGAAACAAATTATTAAAGGATGCTTTCTGCAGAAATCTGAACTTACCTTCACACGTGTGTTCTGTGTTCTATTACTGTTCCACATTCTGCGATGCTTAAAGTCAAAGTATTTGTCTGTAAGAACTATAGTTTTGTTTACTAACTTCAACATTGAAAAGCTGGTGATGTGTTGCAACAGACTTTCTGTCTTCTTCCCCTATCCCTGTAAGTTTTTCAGTTAGAAGCAAAAGACAAAATTGAATTTGTTTAAACTCCATGGAATTTATGGAATATATTCTCTGGATTAAATTTAGGAATGCAGCACATTCAGGTGACCCCAGCATACTGCAGCTCTGTGTTATCTTTAATAGTTACATTTTCTCAGATTAACAACAACAAAGCATTTACCTCCTGAATATGTCTCTTCACCAAGAACATAAACGGAGCTTAAAGCCTAAAATATAACAGTAAGCAGAATAGGTAAATAATTAAAAATCTATCACAGATAAAAATATATCACCTATATAAACAGTTAAATTCCTGAGAGAATGAGCATCCATTCTCTCAGGGAAGCAGTTAGATGCATTGTACAAATTATCCCACACGACTGTCACACGAATACATTGATGCCACACAGACAGTGATACAAATGGCAGAGTATCCTGAATTTTGTTCTCTAGCAAACACAGAGGAAAACAAATTTCTTGAAGATTCTTGAGAGCTTATAAGTGGTATAAACACTATGCTGCTGCATTCGACATTGGAATATTGTATTTTCTGCTCTGTGTTGTCTTCTTTACTAAAAATTCCTTCCCTTTGGTGCTATATGAAATGCTAGGTGCTGAAATGACAGGTAAAATTTTAAAAGAATATCAGAAAAGAGGCAGAAAAAATATTTAGATATTGATTATGTGATGTTCTCTGCAAATTAAACATGAGGCTAAATTAGCGCTGTCTTATTAAAAGGTGGATATTATGAAAAAGATGACAATAAAAACTAAACACTTTTTAAACAGTGTGATATAATTGAATCAATGATGAATGCTGTTTACACTGGGCTGAAATTAAAGTGAATCTAGTAAAACTCATGTGTTGCTTCAGCACATTGTATCCTGGAAATAACTGTAGTTTGGATAATAGAGGGCTTTTAAGATCACTAATCTTAAAAGTGATGCTAAAAACTATAGTGAAGAACTTGATTTAGAGTCTCAAAAAATGATGATTTTGAGAACAAACCTATGTGCTTTTTTTCCTTAAGGGATGAGAAAATACTCTTAAGAAGCTTCCTTCAAGGCACCTAATATTCCTTGCAAGATTTTCAACAATATGGTTACACATACAGAGAACGAGAACTTAAGTTTCAAATCAAAGACTCACCAGCCTGTGCATAGCTGGCAGACGTTCAGCATTTCAACTGCTCATGAATCAAAATGCATGTCTGCCTTTTAAACCCACAGGACTAGATTCTGTTGGCTGAAAAAAAACCATGCACCAAGTTTAGGGGTTCATGTGCACCAAATTTTTAGCATTACAGTTTGCATGTTTCATCATAATAAGTCAGACACTTTCTGTTTGCTTCAGACAACAACAGATTTCACCATGGGCTCCATCAGTGCAGCAAATGCAGAATTCTGTTTTGATATATTCAGAGAACTGAAAGTCCACCATGCCAATGACAACATCATCTTTTCCTCCCTGAGCATGATTTCAACCCTGTCCATGGTGTATCTGGGAGCAAGAGGTAACACTCAATCTCAGATGGAGAAGGTAAGTTACTTACATGAGTGTAAAGCAACCTTGTGCTAGTTTTTACTTCTAAGTAACACCACTGAAAAATATTATCCACTGACAAGTTTCTCACCTGATTTAATGCACAAGAAGTAAGCCAAAGTCACAAAACAGAGAACTGAATCAAGAGGTATTTAGAGAAAATAATTTTTACAAATATGTCTGTTTTCACTGTAACAGGCAGTTGACTTTAACACAGAAAAAGAAAATCTCAGGGACAATAGCAAAATAGATTACCAGTCAGCAAATTTTATTCTGTAATTTTTTCTAAATTATGACAATTTCCAGATAATGTAATCACATTTTTTTCTTAATATATAAAAAAGATAAATCCCAGAAAGATAGGGAGACAGAATATCATTAACAGTACACAATATGTAACTCAATTATTTCTAGATAGTCACTTGGAAAAATATCATCTAAGCAAATAGTGATATTTATAATTTCCAGGAAGGCACAGAAGGCATAAACCAGTTGCAAGCTCACTTGTAAATGTTGAGTTAATCTATGTTCTCAGTTAGCACCCTTTTTTCTCCTGAGTGAACAGTTTTACCAGACATCATGTGTAAATCTTGATTTCACATTATTTTTGGTCGTGCTTGTCATTTCTACCACTGGTATTTCCTTTTGCAGGTTCTTCACTTTGATAACGTTACAGGAGCTGGAGACACTACTGACTCCCAGGTAGAGAAATAACTTAACCTCCCTTTCTGCCTTATTTTCTCCTCAGAACAAAACTAGGACTGTTCTGCCTCTCCTTCTGGCAGCTTCAGACCCTGACAAAAACTATGGTAATGCTCTCAAACCAAGGGGATCTGTGGAGAGAGGGAAGGAGGGTATTTTTCACCTGGATTTTTAACAAAGTCAGCAGGTTGCTCATCTTGCACCAGAACAAGTCATGGCATGGGGCAGAATGCTTTGGGCACCAAGATGCCTTCCTGGGCAAGTGCTGCTGGGGAATGGCTTGTGAAAGGGGATCAGCACCAGGAGCCAGGGTGCAGCACTCAGACTTGCAACTGAGAGACTCCAAAGCAGGGCAGGAAGATGCTGGGCAGAGGTGAGCCCAGAAGTCTCAGTGAAAGGAACACAACTGCATCTCATAAAAAGCATATTTCAGGGGACTTGTCTTGACAAGGTTGAATCTGCCAGTTCAATAAACCATCAGCATAGCATCAGCTGTCCCAAAGGTTACAACCCTATGTGAGGGAGGACTCCCCTGTAACATTAACTGAGAGGGACAATACTTTTGGTTCTAATTTCCTTATGCAACCTATCTTCTTATTTTTATGTCATCACCTCAGTGTGGCACTTCTGAATACATCCACAACTCATTCAAAGATCTTCTCTCAGAGATCACCAGGCAAAATACTACTTACTCACTCAAGATTGCTGACAGACTCTATATTGACAAAACATACCCAGTTCTTCAGGTGAGTTATATTGTGACCTGACCTCCATGAGATTTCCTGTAAAACCCCCTGTGACTCAACTCTAGAGAAGCACCACTGTGCAGCCCACTGTCCATTGATGAAGAGATCATTGCGAGTCATGAGGGGGAGTGGTACAGAATGAGTTTGGATCTTTCTGTGTCTGTTAGGGGAAGGCCAAGAAAGGTATAATGGTGTAAGATATGCCCATATTGCAAGCCACAGGGAGTAACCAAGACTGCTGTTCATTTACTAGAAAACACCTTTTAATGAAAAATGTAACATTTAAGGGAAATTAAATATATTTTATGACTTTAAATAATGAAGACTGAAATTGTCAAATTTGTATTTTTTCAAAGCCAAGTATCAAATCTTCCCAGTGAAAGGAAGCCTTGTTTTTGAAACCTAAGAATGTAAGAACACTGTATCCAAAATAAAAAAAGTGGACACAAATAGAAGAGAAAGGAACATTATCTGTCCTTAAAAATGTTTGTTAAACTGAAACTGTCTTGGCAATATAAAGAAAATATTTCAAAATTTTAACTGAGAACTCTATCTCATAACAAAAGTGCCAGACCTATATAGGTGAAGCAGTCTTTCTTGTCCAGCTTTAAGATTCAGTTACAGGGAGACACCTGTGACTGATGTGTTCAATAACTGACATGTTCAAACACAGGAGTAAACATTCACTGTTCTTTAACCATTTTGATTTATTTCATGATCTTGCATTACACATCCCTCTATTTCCAAGTTCTTGTCAGTCTGACAACTGCTATCCTTCGGCTTATAGGAATACTTGAAGTGTGCAAAGAAATTCTACAAAGCAGGGCTGGAAGAAGTTAACTTCAAAACAGCTGCAGAAGAAGCTAGACAGGTCATTAATTCCTGGGTGGAGAAAGAGACAAATGGTAAGGATTGAAAAATGGGTAGCAGGTATTCTACGTTACCTACTATAAAATATATCCTTGCCTTCCTCTCTTTATAATGCCTAGAAAAAATGGGTTGAGCAAGAGCAGGTTGCTTTTTGCTCTGTAAAGAAAACCCCACAAAGTAGAACCCCTCCCCTTATTCCTTCATCACAGTCAGTCATGCATACCAAGGGAGGTGTATCCGACCACTCTCTTCCCTATCTCTTTCTTAAAGGACGGATCCAAGATTTCCTTGTGCCAGGCTCTGTTGATCTTGATACTGCCCTGGTCTTTGTGAATGCCATCTACTTCAAAGGGATATGGAAGACCTCATTTAAAGAAGAAGACACTCAGGAAGTGCCCTTCAATGTCACAGAGGTAGGAGGGCACAGACACAACTTCTGGCCAGGACAGCTCGTGGCCCGGACAGCAGTCTGGGCATTACAAATACAACCTGTTGCTGCCACAAGTTGGATTATTTAGCTATATCCTTCACTGTCAGTGCCTGGGCCTAAGACCTGTGTTTGAAAAGGCTTCCACGACAGGCAAGAGAGGAAAATGGAGACACAGCTCTTCATCAAAGGCAACACATTTGAAGATCAAGTCCCATCCCTTTCTAAGGCCTCCTACATTTGCCTGACTAAACAAAAAAATTGCTTCTCCATCATATCATCTCACATTTCTCATTTTTTTGCAGCAAGACAGCAAACCTGTGCAAATGATGTGTCAGAACAGTACATTCAAAGTGGCAAGAGTGGCTGCAGAGAAAATTAAGATCCTGGAGCTTCCATATGCCAGTGGAGAGCTGAGCCTGTTGGTGCTGTTGCCTGATGATATCTCTGGCCTGGAGCAGGTATGGCCCTGGCAGGGGAAGCAGAAGAGTTATGGCTTCAGTAGGGCTTGGCTACTGTCAGACCTTTTGCTGTCCCGTTACATCCCAGTTGCTCATATCATGGCTGTCCTGGGCAGGCAGGGGAGCTCCAAATCTGCCCAGGTGCTCCAGGTGCTCAGGCAGAGACTGACCTCTTAGGAAAGCCCTGAATTCAGTTTAACAAAATGAAACTAAAGCAGTGCAGTGCTGCTATAACCCTGCAGAAGAGGATGTTGCTATATGCACCAATCACCATCAGGTGACAGAAACAGACACACTCACAGGATTTTTATCACTTTGATGATTTAAAAGCTTTGCTAAAAAAGAAATTTAATCCTAGGGGAAATAAAAAATGAAAGTGGTGAGGAAAGCATTACAAGACCTGACTAAAATGAACATGAGAAAAGTAGCATTAGGAAGGAACAAATTGAGGAAAGGGATCAATAAAATATGTTCCAGGAAGAACAGTTTTCAGGCCAATTTGATTTGATGTTTTCAAAAACTATTTTCAGCAACAAAAAAAAGGCTTGATCTGCAGAATACATTTTCAGATGACAAGGTTTTGAGGAACTTCCTCAAAACAGATGATATATAATGCCTGCTCAGGAAGAAGCATAGGGGATAAACAAATGCATTTAAGATTGAGTATCAGTTCTATTGTGTACACAAAGTCAATGGAAAAAAATCGAGTGACAAGTGGTACAAACACAGCTGTTAAGGCCATTGAACTTGTCTCAGATATTTCATTCTCTGCCTCTCTTTGCAGCTTGAGAGCAAAATCAGCTATGAAAAACTTACAGAGTGGACCAGTCCCAGCGTGATGGAAAAGAAGAGAGTGAAAGTGTACCTCCCACGCATGAAGATTGAGGGAAAATATAACCTCACATCCGTCTTAACAGACTTGGGTATGACTGACCTGTTCAGCCCTTCAGCCAATCTCTCTGGCATCTCTTCAGCAGAGACCCTGAAGATATCTGAGGCCATCCATGAGGCATTACAGAGTGGACCAGTCCCAGCGTGATGGAAAAGAAGAGAGTGAAAGTGTACCTCCCACGCATGAAGATTGAGGGAAAATATAACCTCACATCCGTCTTAACAGACTTGGGTATGACTGACCTGTTCAGCCCTTCAGCCAATCTCTCTGGCATCTCTTCAGCAGAGACCCTGAAGATATCTGAGGCCATCCATGAGGCATACATGGAAGTCACTGAAGAGGGCAGGGTCTGGCTTGGCTCAGGAGGTGCAACAGGAGACAACCAAGATTCCTCTGAATCTGAAGAGTTTAGGGACCCATTCCTTTTCTTGATCAAACACATACCAAGCGACATCATCCTCTTCTTTGGTAGGTACTCTTCTCCCTGAAGAGAAAAGGAGCTGGAAATAATGCTTGCCTTCCCCTCAGAAACAGACTCCCTCCACTGTAGTATTGTAGCATAATCTCATCTCTTCACTACTTTCTCCAGGCTAAATGCCGTAAATATTTAGGGAGATATTCTTGAAGAAGTGTGTGACTTTTCATATCTTTAAGTACAGACATTTCTACTCACACAAGTTGCACTCAGGACTTATACCCAGGATTGAATGAGAATTTCAGGTGGTAGGTTAGAAGTATTTCCCATTGTCATTGAATAACTTGACATACAGGGCCAGTTCTCTATAGGAGTTCTGTGAAACAAACAGCTTTCAGAATAATCCTGTTCCTTTCTGTTGAACTTGTTGGACAACTGTCCTTGAACTGATGCCTGGACAACTGCAGATGGAATTCTAAACTTCAGCAAAGCATTCCTCTTCCAGGAATGTGGTTTTGGATTTTTGTGCTGCATGTACTATAAGGCTATGTCGTGTGTCCTGAGGGGTTGTACAGAAAGTTTACCATTTCTTCATAAATCATCATCTCCATATATAACATCTTCCTGACTGATACAATTTCCCATCTTCATTCCTGTGACATGCATTGATTTTGTGAATGTTAATTGATGGTCCTTCTATTTATTCTAATAAATAGATTGCAAACTAAACATGTCTCTGCCTATTCTACGTTACTGCACCACACAGCCTGAAATATATGATACAGTGGGTCATGATTATTGACAGAAGTGGTTTAGATGAGGATTTAGGCCCTATTTTCAAATCCATAATGTAGCCACATATGAAGTCATTAAAAGTTTGAGATATTTTTTTCTCAAATTTTGTGCTTAAGGAAGGTAAACACTGCAGCTCCCATTCTTACCTTACCTCCATATGGCATATCAAATAACTCAGCTTTTTGAATCTGCTGTTGTATTTCCAGGTGCTTTTTTAAAAAGATTTCCTCTAAGCACCCTCAGCAAATATACTGAGGTGATGTCTAAGAGATATAACTTAAAAACCTGCAAAGCCTTTTTTCTTAAAAGGTGGACAGCTTCACCTGTCTAATACCCACAAGAATAATACAAGGAAATCTTTGCTACTGTCTTTTGATGTAATAATCCTCTAGAGATATTATTTCCTATTTCCACTCTTTAGAGGGAAGGTTCTTTAGGTTGCAGTTTATCCAACTGAAAAAATTATTAGTGTTAATTGCCAAGTTAAGCAAACTTCCTTCTGCTGGGATACACATGCAGAACTGCAAAACACAGTACCACTACTTACAAAGTGCTTAAAAAAGGAGACACCTGGCAGTATTTGTAGCTGCCTCAAAAATTTTCAAAGGCAGCATTAAATATAACCTGAAATGATTATGCTGACAGCAGGGAAACATTTTCATTGCTGCTAGGATGTCTATGGGAGAACTGCAAATACTGGTCTGCCCAAGACAGTTATAAAGGATTAGATATGGTTAACAAAAGTGTTCAAGCAAAAAAGTATTTAAGTTATGATATTTCAAGGTTTACTGTGCATATTATGTTCTGCTTCTCTTGTAGCCTAAAGCAGTTAACAGTTTTGCTGCAACTTACAAAAAAGGCAGGATCTACAAAATACCATTCTAAGAAGCAGAGTGTAAAAGTGTCTTAAACAATTATTAACCTGTTATTAAACTAAAACAACTCTTCGCTTTCTAGGTACAATGACAATAAAATTAGTAGCATTTATTATAGAGGTATTTATTATATAACACAAATACAAAAATAACTATTCCCTTGTTTAATTGGTTTTTTGCTTGATAATTACTTTATAGCAAAGAACTTGAGAAAGCCAAAACTGAAATAGTAAGTGGCTTCCCAAGAGTACACAGGAGAGAGATTTTCAAGGCAAAGAGTCCACCTAATGTCCTCACTGAAACAAAAGCCATTTGTCTAGTTTTAAACTGGGCCATTAGGTGTCACTAGGCCTACAAAATGATGTCTCAGTCTTCTAACAGACATCTCTTGAAAACTAGGTTTGGGAGCTTAATGAAGGTTTCAATTTTGTTCTTTTTTAAATTTCTGTGCAAGCAGATGATTATGGTCAAAATACTGAAAATCAACCAGTGGCACTGCACTTGGAACCCAATACTTTTTAAGAAAAAGACAGAAATATTATTCAGTCAAAGTCCAGAGGCATTTTAAGATGTCTGTATCCTGGATGAAAAAATAGTATCACAGTCAAATACTGTAGAAAGGATTGTGCTATTTGGTTTATGAAAGTGAAAACATCCTCTGGAGACGCTAAAATGAGAGGCAGAAGTGCAGATTCAGCAAAGCTGGATAAAATCCATACCCCTGTATCAATGGCTGGACCAGTACCGTGCCTGTGCATTGCTGGTGTGGACCAGCAGGACCTGCTGTAGAGGCAGTGCCATGGTCAGTGTGGCTGCTGCAGGCCCCATGGGAAGCAATTCTGCAAAGAGCAGCATGGAGAGTGTTACAAAGGGATGAGGGAAGAGCAGCCATGAGGGGAGTAAACACTGCCTGCTGCTTCTGAGCTCTGCTCTGAAGTCTGGCAAGAGTTTAAAAGCATGAATCATAGCTCCCACAAAGTCTAGGTATTGTCCAATAGTCCTTTTTGTTCCCTGGCAGCATCACTGAAGTTGGTATGTCAATAAATTGCCATCTGTCTGTACGCTACACTCCGTTTCCACAATGTGGTGTGTTGTTCTGGACACACAGTACTGCCAGGGGTCTGTGGAACAAGAATAGCCACATGCATAGGACAGCTTTCAAAATGCTCTGTGGACTAAGTGTGCTGTTCCTTCTCATGCCATTTGGGAAAGGGTTGGAGCTGGCATATCTTCCCTGCCCTTAGAGGAATATAATTTTCTGAGACCATTCCACACTTCTCTGCATATCTGACTTTTGAGAAAGCCCTACCTTCTCCTAAGCAAACCAAATCCATGGCTGAAGGCACAAGATTTGGCAGGCAGAATGCTGTAACACAGTCACCAGAGGAACTGCAGAGAACACCCTGGACTCCAGGGCAAAAGCTGTCCTGGGATCCCAAATGATACTTGAGAAAGCACAGCATGCTGGATCAAACTGAAAGCTATGTATCTGCTAGAAAGGCTTTGACACATAGAAGTGCTTCAGGTTTTTCTTGTGGCTAGTGAGCTAAGATATTTCAAACTGGAAAAGAAACAGCAGAGGCGATTGTCAGGGAGTGGCAAGGGTAAGGCTGCTTGGCAAAGGAAGGGGACCCAGGGCAGCAGGCAACATCAAGGCCAGTGGGGCAGGGACCTCCCCCATAAGGTATTAAATGCTACAGTTCCCAACACTACCACTACAGTCCAGTGACTCCCAAACATGTCTGTATGATGATGTAGGTCAAATATCAAGCCTGGAGGGCAAGTCCACACATCAGGGTCTGTAGTTGTCCTAGCCAGAGCACTGTTGTACATCAACAGTGGAGTCAGTGACCCACAAAGAAATAGGCCTGATCAGGCACAGGCATGTGCTGTTCAGTTCTATGTTATGCTGCACATACTGTTTGGCCTCCAGGACTATACAGTGCTAAACATATTATGTGGCTGCAGGCTAAACTTTGCCAACTAATCATAATGGAGCAGCTTGTAGATGGTCCCAGACTGGCACCTGGTGATGATGCTGCCAGCTTATCCTTGTCTTCATCTTGAAGTGAAACAGCATTTTTCTATACAAATATACTTTTATTCATCAATATATATATAACAGAGTTGCATATTTCTAAGAACATACTCATAAAAGTGTAAAGATCACCACCAGTGAATCTCTGCATGCTGTGTCCTGAATAACAGAACTGCTTGGGTTCCCATCATTGCAAGAGACCGTAAATTACCTATGCTATCTCCTTTTTCTCTCATGTTATTTCTAATAAAATGTGCTTTAATTTTCTTACTAGTGCCCAAAATGAACACTTGCAGTGGTGCATTACAGGGTCCATCTTGGTGAGGTTCATGGCCAGGCACAGGCATGCAAGTTAGCAAGAACCATGATCAAGAAAGTCAGTTTAAATTCTTCTCTCAAGGGAGGGGGATGTGTACCCCCATAGAGGCATGTCACAGCTGTGTCACAAACAGCACTCTGATCCAAGACTTGGCAGATGCTTCAGATATGTCTGAGTCCAGGCAATCAAACTCCAAGGAGAGGCATGCTGTTCTCAAGAGCAGAGGTTTCTGAAGTTCTGAATAATATAGAGACAATGACAGAGACTGGCTATTCAGTATGTCTTCTGACACAGGGAATGAACAGTATTAAATGAAGTCAGTAGAAAGTAGTTTTTAAAAAACCACATAGAGGTAGCTGAAAACAAAAAGGTAGCTAAGTGATGGAACTCACGGCTAAAGAATGCTGAAGATGATAAAATTTTACATGATTTTAAAGGGAGACTGGACAGAACTGTGGAAGAGAAATTAAGAGGTAATAAATATATAGAGAAACATACTACCAGAGGTAATAAATATATAGAGAAACATAGAGAAACATAGAGAAACTGTTCAAGTTCCAGGTCTGAAAACAGTTAATGTTAGGACCCTGACAGCATGACCAGCCTCAGGAGGAGATCTCCCTGACACCCTCTGCACATGGGTCCAGGAGCCTGTACTGGGCACTGGCACAATTTTGTTACTACGGGTGGTTGTTGGACAGGAGTATATGAACTGTTCTTGGCCAGTTGCATCAGGCCTTGTAAAAAGAACTCATTGTATACCAAATCTTCAGTCACAGGAGCATAAGACACCTCTGCTCCAGTGTAATTAAGAAAGGATGGTAAAAGAAATGTGAGAGGTGTGTTTGGAGAAACAAAACAGAGAAGACACGTGGAAGGGGATGTTACTAAGAGCACAGCTGAAGGCACACTCAGGCACCTTTGAAAGACTGCAGCCACAAGCAACTCATGCCAATGCAGTGACAACCCAGAAGGACTGCAGCCTGCTGGTAACCAACACTGATGGGACATCCCTGTGGAACAGCAGCCCCTGGAACAGACTACAA